ACGACATGCTCTGAAAATTTGGTAAGATGTGGTGCGTGAATGTACGTGTTAGAGAGTGAGTGCAACCTGCAGGAGGGATTTGGATCATCCCCACTATCGAAAAAGGCAGTATACAGATTCCATAAATTTTAATCAGACCACTTATTGCTGAATGGACGTGGGTGGAGAATTACATGTCATTCTGAGGGGGTTATTGGTTGGGACAGGTTGGGTCCAGGATAATTATTCTAATGGAATAATTTTATCTTTTTGGGATATTTTGAGTGGTGTAAAGTGAGACAATTTAAGGTAACGGGACAACTTGAAGCTTTGATTTGACAATTCATGGAGATAATCGATGATGTGGTACCTTATTAAAGTACAATATTTATCAATCAATTAAACCTAAATTAATATATCAAATTGGTTTAGTATATTATTTGGTATGCTATATAATATAACACATTATTTTATTTTATACTAAAATGTAATATATTATATTATAATTACTAATTAATTATAACTATATTTAATGTTATTAATTAATGTAATATAATATGTTATAATAATATGATATACAAATAATATATTTAATATAATATTTAATCAAATATTATATTATTTTGTTTAATACAATGTAATATTTTATTTTATGATAATTACTATAATTTAAATAGAATAATTGATGACATGGCTCCTCATTAAAATATAATATTTATAATTACCGTAATATACTATTACTACGTTCAATAGTATTAATTAAAAAACATTATTAAATAATATATTATATTATATTAATTTTATATATATTATCATACTTTAATATATAGTAGATTATTATAATTTTTATTATAGCAATAAAATATTATTTATTATTATAACTATCACAATATTGAAAATGTATTTAAAACTCTTAATTAATATAATAAAGTATAATAGAAAATAATAAATTATTATATAATAAGTTATATTATAATATAATTAATATATTATTATATTAAATATATGAAATATTATTAACCAATATGTAATAATGATATATAATAATGTTATATTAGATAATATTATATGATATTTTATTATCTTACGTTATAACAGAATTTTATAATATAATATAATTAAGATTTATTATATCTTATAATACAATTAATATATATTAAATATTTAATAAATTAGTACTTCAAATTTATCCTACTTTCCTCATGATTGTCCCAAAGTTAGGAATGAGGTAATTTTTGGAGGTTGGGACAAAAAATTTGTATGAAAGTGGGATATGTTATAGTGTTCACTCACCCAAGATATAGTATTTTTGCTATGTAATGCAATAAGACTCCTAGTCAACTCCCAAGAGTTCTAGGCAGTTAACTCCTAAGTCGACTAATAAGCCCTTGGCTTTTTATTAAGGTAGCCTAAGACACCACATATGGTCGATTCCTCCAGTACAACTCGACCATCATGGCTAGATTACAAGACATTGGTACCTTATCAAGGTATAAACACATGATACAATTACGGAGACCTCAGCCCCATCGACTCATCAAGCCGGCACCCTGGTGCCGACACAAGAGACGATATTAGTCGAATATCAAGCCCTTGGCTCTTTATCAAGATAAGCCCAAGGCACAACGACTCCTTAGTCGAATATCAAGATCTTGGTACATCTTCAGGGTAAACCCAAGGCATAACGACTCCTCAGTCGAATATCAAGCCATTGGTTTTTTATCAAGATAAGCCTAAAGCACAACGACTCCTCAGTTGAGTAAACAATCCATTGGCCCTTTGCCAAGGTAAGCCCAAGGCACAACCCTATGATCGACTCCCGCAGTCACTACTCGACCTTACGAGGATTATGAAGGTCTAAGCATCCAACATCAAAGTTGCCATTCTGCCAAAAAGGTATTCATAAACCTAAGGTACGAATATTAAGCATATGGCTAATAACTTAAGCAGTCGTCTGTCAAGTTATGGTCAATTAAATGCTTAGCCAAAATAAGGCATCAAGTAAAGTAGTTGTTATAAGTTCCTAGTACTGGTCGACACATTATAACTAACTCACTACAGCCAACATCTCAAATGAGAACAAAGCTACAAAGCTAAAAGAATACAAACAATAAAGGCAAGCTCAAGAATGGAGATAAATTTTAATTTTTATTCAATAAGAGTAAACTTCGTTACAAAGTTCTCTACAAAAAAAGGAAGAATAAAAAAAGAAAAAGAAACATACAGGTCATCAAAGCTCTCGACCAGGCTCAGGAGTCGGACTTGGTGAACTCCTAGTGGCAGCAAGGGTAGAAGATTCCCCAGGGGCCCCAGTAACAAGCTCGACCTCATCGACATTCATTGATAAATCCAACCCGCCTCCACTTTTCTCGACATCCTTTAACAAATCGAGACAACAGGAGACGCAAGAAGGATAGAAGCGATCTGGAGTCGGATAAGAGTCGCGAGGCACCAAGGAGGCGAAGTAATCAACCACAGCTTTACAATCTAAGGCTACTTCAGCCTTCCCTATAGGGTCGTGACTCCAGTCGTCGACCACTTTCTTTCTATGCTCCGAATCCAGATGGGCGAGTCGGTCCTCTAATTTCTTAACAAGGATCACAGACGTCTGAAGCTTTGATTGCAGCTCTTCAAAGTCCCTCCTCATCTTTTCGAGAGACAGGTGACTTGTTCGAGCCTCTGCCTCACCTATCGTCCTACGACGCTTCTCGGACTCGGCCTCCGTTTGTAGCTGAGCCATCTCCCTTTGAAGGTCCTCAATGGTCCCCATCTGCTTGGGGAACTGGACCCACAAGCTCTTGAGAAGCTCTTCCTTCTCATCCAGACTTCGGTGCTAAACGCTTCTTTATGAGCTAACTCGGCCTCCAAGATAGTGATCCTCTTCTCTGCCTCTTCCTTGGCTGACCTCTCCTTAGCTAGCTCTGCATGGCCTTCCAAGGAACGCTCAAGTCGATTTAACATGGCGTGTCCCAGTGAAGTCCCCCGAGCTAGACAAGCTTGAAGAGCTTGGTGTATGCCAACACTTGGCATATCCTCTAAAATCCTCCCGTCAACACCATTCTCCATCTGGTTTGATGGAGTTCCAGCTCTCCCCTCGATGCTATCGTCCACCCCAATCAACTCCTTGCTAGGACGACGAGATGCCTCAGGATTAGCACTGGGGCCGACAGCATCCTCCTCGACCACTGGGTCCATAGTTTTCCTGCCAGGAGAAGACCCTTCTATCCTCCCCATATTTTTCAAGAGGTTAAGCTGAGTTATCAGCGGACCCGTCCTAACTGGTCTAACTGGACGCCGCCTCTTAACCCTTGTCCTTCCCCTCAATTCAGAGACAATATTAGCTGCTTGAGGCATCAAGACAGCCACCTCCTCTACGCTAAAAGACCCCGTCAGCTTCTTAGGGGGTCTAGCAGTAGAGCTCACCCCCTCAGTCCCTGTATTCCTCTTGTGAGTTTTCGCTAACAGAGGAACGGGGCTCGTCCTTGCCTCGAAGCCAGTGGAAGACAAAATCATGGACATGCCCATCGTCCGGAGAGACACATCTGTTAGACCCTAGAGGGGGGTGATTAGGGTCTTATGCTAATCTAATCCGATTAAATGTCAATTAAAAACTAATTAACAAGTTATCCTAGCAAGTATGAATCTACGTTCACCCGAACAACGTTTACACCTCACAATACAATCACTATGTAATCACACCTCACACACTAAGTGTTGGTCCTAGCCCGTGTCCTCCTCCTCAAGTGCTCGGTTACAACCTCTCCCTAGGCACGTCAACCGACGCCACTCCTCTTGGATTTGACCCCGTCTCTCACCACACACTTCTCTCGGTGTACAAGTGTATTACAAGTGAATCCTCACAATTAGGCACAATATGACAAATGATTGTTCTCTCTAACAAGGTGAGAACTCAATTAAGCACAACTCTAAGTCACAAACCCCACAACCCAAAATTATACTATGAATGTAAATATTATAATCTCAATAGGTTGTGTGTGATCAAAGAGATAAAACAATATAAACTCAATATGAAATCTAGCTTATGAAATTAAGAACAAACTTATAAAATGCTAGAATTGAGTTTAAGGAAACTTCTCTATAGATGACAAGAGAGAGGGAGAAGAATGAATGCTCAAACACCAAGGATGATCTCCACTTGCTCTTGTGAAACTTGCTCCACAAATCAAACTTTTGTAAATGCTTAAAAGTTTTTTAAACAAACACTAAACCCTTAAACAGAACTCCTTAGACTTGTTTTTAAAACTCTCTTTTAAAACATTCTTAGATAATTTGAGAGTTGAAGACAATGGGGTATTTATACCCTCTCACAACTCAGCCAAAAACCCCAAGCCA